ATTTAATTTAATTTGGAAGCCTTATCAACACGGACTGACTTCATTCACTTCCTCCACTGCTGTATGCTAAACTAACTACGCGCAGAACATCGATGTCATTCAAAACTCCGCCTTCTGTTTGTTGATTGGCCCAGGTAAAATAAACTGACACCGCGCAGAAAATCGACATTCTGTTCTCTGATTGGCCCGGCTAAAAATCTGCCAACAAAATCCTTGTTAATGGGAGAAATCCCAGACGGAGCAGAGAAGCAAAACTAGAATTGAGCAGAGCTGCGTAGGAAGGCAAGGGCCAGGCTAATACGTATCTCTTTGAAGCTCTCACAGGCCACATAAAATGCCACAGCAGGCTACATTTGGTACAGGGGCTTTGAGTTTGACACATTATGTATATTATACTTTTAGTTTATGCTATAGAAAATGTGAAAAAAGTGATTGTTAAATAAAACCCTAAAGAACTTCTCACCTGGGTCGTCCTCCTCAGCAAAGGCAACAATGTGCTCTCCATCAATGTCATCTTCCTGTGTGCATAAAACAGGAGCTGTCAAGGTTTGTAGTCATTTTCCAACCGTGTACTTACAAAACAATGTGAACATTGTTGAATGTTTCAAATATYTTTAGATGTGTTGACAACCTTACCCAGATTTCATACATGCTGTGGGGCTCCAGTTTCCTCAGAGTTGGTCTGAAACACAAAAATATGAACAGAGTCTAAAGTTTGTCCACAGACCATTTGTAACATGTAGTTTCACAGGTGCCTCCTCCAACTAACCCTAACACTAACCTAACTAACCTAACCCTAACCTTTGTGTATCATAAAGCTGGTGAAATGGTCCAACACAAAGCTCAATTCAACACAGAATCCCACCTGTCGTGCTGTTCGATGTACTCAATAAGCTCAGACTCAATGTAGGGTTTTCCTGGAATGGTAACAGGTTCGTTCATGAAAGGTTCGTAGAAATCAACTTCATTTAGCTTCAGTTTTAACTTCTTGGCAATCTGAGAAAATATCAGAATTGGTGAAAGTTAGAGAACAAATATTTTTAAAAAGTTCCATGAATTTCCAAAATGTAAAGAAAGTAAAATGTCCGAAATGTAAAGGAAGAACACTTCTCATACTGCACAAAAGTTCAAAGCAAACAGCTTAGACCTTTGGATCAAACGTGGCGTAGAATTTGACAAAAGGGTGGAACTCTTCAGCTGRGTCATCGTACTCGATATAATCTGGAAGGAAAAAATTGCAAAGAAAACTTAACTTTTATGTTCACTAAAACAGTTAAAGTTCCCTTCACCCTGGAGAATGAACCTGCTCTGACAGAAAACAAAACAAAGCCAGAGTGTACAGGGTGAGCTAAAAGTCTCATGATACCCTTTTATTTCAGAAATGAAAGGGAAAATTAAATATCTGAATACAGTACCTCTGCAAGAAATGACTGATGAGTCTATATTATAGGCCATGTCTGAAACATGGCTGCCATTTTGACAGCCACCATATTGGATCAATGGCAAGTTTTTCCAATGGGAAGATGGTAATTTAGTAAATCAAAGACCAGAATTGTTTTTAAAAACTGATTGCTGCTTGCAATTTCTTTGAGGTTCAAAAGTTACCAACACTGGAAGTTGGGAACATGGCCTGTGAATGCACAGCTATTTCATGAGTTTAACTGGGGGTGCTGAACACAGACATACCTGTGACAAACAACAAAAGATTGAACTTTCTGTATTGATCATTTCTGAATATTGCACATCTGAATGCAGCAAGCCATCCTCAGACAATTCTGGTCTTCTGTGATATTATCCATGCCTGAGGTCTTRGGGTGCTTATTAAGAACATATGAGTGATAATGCATTATGGGTACTAAGTGGTTTCAAGACTCAAAMCCTCTGTGCTTAGATTGTGATGTTTATCTTTGTTTATGAAGGTGGAGTGTTGAGGCAGAGTATCCATGATCTAGGGTCCATTTGGTCATTGAGAATTTAAATTAGACTGGTCACATTGGCTTCAGTTTCAAAGTGTGATTATTTGACAATGGAACAGAAACAATCTTACTTGGTTCAAGGAAATTGTGCCAGGATGGGCACATATTTGCCCATCCTGGCACATATATGCCCATCCTTCCACGTCCATTGAGCTCCTCTCAAGGACGTGGAAGATAAAAGGGAAACCCTATGGTAAGTACCAAGAACATAGCAGCATCATGATTGCCTTCACACAGGAGGTTTTCTAAAGTAGCTACAGCCATGTTCCAATTAGTTGTGTATGTTGTGCAAATCAAAATGAAGTCATTAGCCTGTGTGAAAGGGATCTTACAGAAGAGTGGGTTTTAAGCTCAGCCTTTTGATCAAATAAAAATAAAAAGCAGTCAACTTACGAGGGGACTTCTCGCTCTTGAAGTAGCCGACCAGCCTGATGACATCATCCAAGTTATAGAAGCCCTTCAGTTCACGTTCATTGTCGATGATCTCCACAGGTTCTTCAATCACCTGACAGGAAGACACTTATGGAAATGTACAGAGAACAACATCTCACCATATTCTTTTTCAAAACTATCAGTCACTTACATCATAGAGAAACTCAACAATGGTGTCTGCAGCCAGCTCTCCGTCATATTCAATTATCTCGTTGTCAGCAAAAATGTAGATACTCTCCACTTCATCCAGACCTGGGGATAGATCAGGGTTTTGACTGTTAAATTCCATCTTAATAAGAGGTCTAATTTATTATTTTCTGCTCTCGTCTATTAAAAGGTGAGGTACAGCCAGATGATGTCATCAGTCTAGCTAAAATGTTCATAAAAATATTTTTATTATTTGGTATTTAAATATTAAACAAAGAAAAAAAAGTATAGTATCAAGTGTGTCAAAGTTGTACAGTATGTGAAAAAATACCCCATCTTAGGGATGGACAACTAGCGGCTCGGGGGCACACAACTTTTTTTCTTAGCTCTGTAATGGCTGAATTATAGTTGTGCTTTGGGTACTCACACAGGGCATGTACGCACCCTCGCCAGTGACACAGGTGTTATACTTGACTGTTACGTTATTGTAGTATTCTTCAAAAGTAAAAGTGGAAGTACACTTTATATCTTGTGAAAATGTTGTAAGTAGGAGAGCAAAAGCCRGACAGACTTTGTGGATTTACAAAAATTTTGAGGTGCTCGACACAGCACAAGGCCAACGCGRAGGGGCAGGATGGCACGATTGCATCACTATTGGCGCATACCACTCATACACGGTGCAATGCATCAACTATAAACCTTTTGCTTTCTGTTCACAGCTTTTCAAGTCAAACCTATGTATGTGTTTAATCAAGAATTTTAATACAAGTCYCAGCTACAACATGTTGCACAAAGCTAAATATGAGAAAATTACTGAAGTCTCAAGTACATAAACTACAGCAACTTCTTACCAGAACCACAACCATGCAGGAGTCTGCACTCAAGTTGTCTTTTGCCATTACACTTCAGCTTGCTCAATTAAGTGTTGATTTTTTTGTTTGCTTCAAACATTTTATATTTATATTTATAAAACAAGAGTGCAACGGTTACACGTGCATTTGAGCATAAAATATGTTAAGTTACTGCATTGTTTAATAAACATATACACATCAAATATGGTAGTGGTAAATTAACCCTATTGGTGTTTATTTGAAATATTTGTGGTGTACACAAACATTTTTAAAATTGCAGTTTTATTYCATTTGGGTAAGTGTGCAGTGTTATGCGGCCCTCTGGTAGCTTCAACAAAAAAAAAATTTGGCCCTTCCCATCATTTAAGTTGTCCATCCCTTGCCTATACCACTTTTAAAGCCATAACTGCTTAGCTTCAGCTTAGCTTTTTTTAAACACATCTTTTAACACATTTTAACACATCTTGTAACAGCTGATGTAACAAGTGTCATGTCTTTGGTGAACACTTGGGGGCAGTGTTGATGCGTAAACTGTCTCTGCTTTTATTCATTTTTTTTCTTTCCTTTTCACATCTGAATAAAAGAATCTTCTCAAATGTATTCAATCAGTTAGGGTTAGTTTTTATTTTAAGTGAAGAAAAAGATATGTAATCCAACATATAACATTGTTGTACTTTTGTCATAACTTCAAGTTTGTAAGAGGAAAACAAAAGCTCACTTCTACAACCACGTTTCTGCCAAGCTTACCCAGCTTCTTGGCAACAGCAGAGGCCGTCTTTTCATCRACCAGGCCGAATCCGATGTCCTCATCCTCAAGTTCATCCAGAACTTGGGCCGCAAGCTGCACAGAGAAAAGAAAACACAAGAAGGAAGGGGGCAATGGGCAAAAATACAACAAAATAAAAGCTCTATCTGATAGCATAAGCGCTGATTTTATCACAAATGTAATAAAATCTCGGCTCACCACTGAACACGGTCTATATGCTTGAGTAACAAACCTTAGCATTTCCTCTCAGTTTCAGTGCCTTAAAGGCAATAGCTTTCAAGTGTTGGCTGCATTTTCTAAACCTGAGTGAAACCAAAACCAACAATCAACAGGCCTCTCAYCAGACAGAGGACACACAGCAGAGCCTCCAAAAGAACAAGAGCTTCAAAACTTGAGCCAATTATGTTAAAGGCAAAAGGTCCTGCAACAGATGTGTTGGACAGGAGAGAAGCGCACACATCGCCAAAGTTAATGCTGCACATACATACAGCTGAAACTAGATGTTTACGTACACTATAAAAATACACAGAACCATTGATTCCTTCTATGTTACATTAAATAAGACTTTTCCTGGTTTAGATCAGAGGATTCCTAAAATTGTTATCTTAGTTCCTCTAAAGTCACAGTTTACATAATGGTGATGGTAAGTGGGGATAGATGAAGGACCCATATAAGCGGGGGCCTCGTAAGTGGGCCCATTTCTCTCCCCAWAAGGACACTGAGCTTTATTCAAACCTTTGTGTCCCTGTGATGAAAGACACAATCTTAGAAACACTCAGTGTTCTGAGCTACTTCAGATCCATAACGAGGTCTCGAAGAATTGTTTCTTTTTGACTGCTCAGAGCCAAGCAGCAGGGCTGCCAGTGGCATAGGGAGTATAGGCAAATGCTAAGGGCGCCATCCATCTACGAGGTGCCACAAATGGGGATGGAAACAATATTTTATAACTTTTTTTTATCAGTGTATAGTTGATTTAGTCTGTAAAATAATCACTGGTTACTCAGGTTTATGAGGGTAATTTGTTCTGTTTTGTTWCTACTTGAGGTGTTATATGGTGCAGAGGATATTTTATGACAAAAGCATCATATGATGCAGTAAAGACTAACTGTTGTTTGGTGTTTAAATAAAAATAAAATCAGGATGATAGAAGCTTCAGTTACGATCTCAGATAAAGTTCAGGTTGAAGTCTGGTTTTCAGTG